AAATATTTTTTTTTTTGCATAATTGAAACATGGTGTCATCGGCAATATTTTATTGAAAATTATAACGAATCTAATGTCGGCAAATGATCATTAAAACCCAAACAAATTATGAGGATGACCCATTGTGAAAACAAGCTAAATTATGTGTAATATATAATGTACATACATTAGTACATATGTGTACCCATACATATGTTGTTCCCAGAAATGACTTGTCATGTCATAATTTGTTGCTATTTCCGTAAACAAAATTATCATTATGTGTGTAGTGCATGATTAACAAATTTTGGAATTTTTTGCACAAACAAAAAAAAAAGCAAAAATGGAAGGGTCGCCTTGGATTCAGATCCACATGTTGTTTCGCTAGCATCTGGAGCAAATTGAAGAACATATGAATGTATTTTTTCAAAAAATAGCAAAATTCTTAATAATTCTGGAATTTCTTTTCCAGTACTATTTATGGAGAATAATTTTTTATTGGTTAGTTAATCAATCAAAATTTTTATTGTATTCATTATCAATTTGTAGACATTTTTTTTTTTTGCTTTATATTGTTACACTCACCCACGTTCATGGGAAATTAATCTCACTTACAATGGAAAAGTGTGGAAGTCAGTGGCTTTTTTGGACGCAAGATGAAGAATATATAAAGGAAAAATATTAAAAAAAAAACACTCCTTGTATAGAACCTCGAAATTTCTTTTAAATCCAGGCCTTGGTTGTGTCTTTGAAAAAATAATAATAATTTAAAAAAAAAAAAATCCACACCTTGTAAGGAAAGTAGTAAAGACGGAAGGGGCCGACTATATGATACCATTTACCACTAGCGGTATATTTAATGCATATAACAGACGTCGCATTTTTGAAGGACCATTAACATGAAATTAAATATGTCATTCTGCAACATATATTAAATTTTGGTCAGATATAATGTTGCTTCTTACAATGAGACAAAATTATGTAAATAAATTTAAGGGGACCCCCCATTCTCGGGGTCAAAAATTTTGTTGATATAATTCGAATCTACACTAATTAAAGAATGTCCCTACAAATTTTCAAATGAAAATCTCAAGAACTCTTGAAGATATAGCCGATTTATTGTGTCAGCATCAAGTGACGGCTGAAGGGCTTCTCAAACTTTAAACGCGTTTTTCTCTAAACATTTTTTTGCGAATGGCGGGCACGATAACTCAAAAACTAATAACTCAATCGATTTGAAATTTTTACACGTTTCTCTGTGAGTGTATAGCTATCGTATGAACTAGGCCAAAGCCAATCGGTGAAGCCAATCGGTGAAGATCTTCCTTATTTTTATACCCTTCACCACACTGTGGTACAGGGTATTATGTCTTTGTGCATATGTTTGTAACAGGCAAAAATAATCGAGATAGACCCATGGTTCCTTTTGAGAATATGCATAGAATCACTTTCTGAATCGATTTATGCATGTCCGTCCGTCCGTCTGTCCGTCTGTCCATGTTAAATTGTAAACAAAGTACAGGTCGCATTTATGATCCGATTTGGATGAAATTTGGCACAGCTCATTTGTTTGGCCCAAGGACGAACCCTATTGAAATTGGGAAAAATCGGTTCAGATTTAGATATAGCTCCCATATATATTTTTGCCCGATTTACGGACTTTAGACCCTGAAAATCTTTCGATTTGCACGAAATTTGGCATAGCGTACTGAATTGAGCCACGAAAGATGTGTGCCAAGTTTCGTGAAAATCGGTTCAGTTTTAGATATAGCTCCCATATATAGTTTCGGCCCATTTTTGGTAAATGGCGTACCAAAGTCCCTATATATCTTTCGATTTGCACGAAATTTGGCATAGCGCACTGAATTAAGTCTAGAATGATGTGTGCAAAGTTTCGTGAAAATCGGTTCAGATTTAGATATAGCTCCCGTATATATCTTCCTCCGATTTAAGGTGAATGGTGTACCAAAGTCCTTATATATCTTTCGATTTGCATGAAATTTGGCATAATGTACTGAATTGAGGCTAGAATGATGTCTGCCCAGTTTCGCGAAAATCGGTCCAGATTTAGATATAGCTCCCATATATAGTTTCGTCCGATTTCATGTTAATGGTGCCCCAAAGTCTCTATATATCTTTCGATTTGCAGGAAATTTGGCATAACGTACTGAATTGAGCCTAGAATGATGTCTGCCCAGTTTTGAGAAAATCGGCCCAGATTCAGATATAGTTTCGTCCGATTTCATGTAAATGGTGCACCAAAGTTTCCTATATATCCTTCGATATATTTGGATAGAGCTTCCACATATATTTTCGCCCGATTTTAAGTAAATTGGACATCAAACTCTTCATGCTAGTCAGGTTGACATCAAATTTTGCACAACGTACAAAATTGAGCATAGAATTACGTAGTTTTCAAAGGTCCGCCATTTTGTTAATTTTAGAGCGAAGTTCATACGAGAGCCAGACATGTACTCTTTGTAACACCGTTGGAATTTTCGGATTCCGATGTTTCAGTGAGGAGTTATCATTCCGATGCTTCAGAGAGGAGTTATCATGCCCGCCATCAAAAATAAGGACATTTCTTTAATTACAAAAAAACAAAAACAAAACATTTTTTGTAAATTATTTTTCTTCTATTTTAAATCTTCAATTATATATGTGTAAAGTTACAAACCTTAACAAGCATTGGTATTGATTTACCAGCCCATTGAAAATCTTGAAAAATTAAAATCGAGAAAGGAGGGGGGATGGTTCCGTTAAAGCAAAAACATAGTTGTGTAGGCTATAAAAATATCGAAATCTAAACCGATTTCATCGAAACTCGTCATATGTTAGGTTACACTTATGTCAGAAAGTTTTGAGCATTCGGCCGCATTTTGAGTTCTGCATTTACTTATAAATCCAAATTTCGTGCAAATAGAAGGATATACAGGGTCTTTGGTGCACCATTTACTTAAAATCGGACGAAAATATATATGGGAGCTATATCTAAATCTGGACCGATTATAACGAAATTTAACACACACCTATCTAGACTTAATTCAGTACGCTATGCTAAATTTCGTGTAAATCGAAGGATATGAAGGGACTTTGTTGCACCAGTTACATAAAATCGGACGAAAATATATATAAGAACTACATCTAAATCTGAACCGCTTTTCACGAAATTTAACACACATCGTTCTAGATTTAATTCAGTGCGCTGTGTCAGACATCATTCTAGGCTCAATTCAGTACGTTATGCCAAATTTCGTACAAATCGAAAGATATATAGGAACTTTGGTGTACCATTTACATGAAATCGGACCAAAATATATATGGGAGCTATATCTAAATCTGGACCGATTTTCAGCAAACTTAACCCACATCGTTCTAGACTTAATTCAGTACGATGTGCCAAATTTCGTGCAAATCGAAAGATATATAGGGACTTTAGTCCACCATTTGCATTAAATCGGACGAAAATATATATATATATATATATATATATATATTGGAGCTACATCGAAATCTGAACCGCTTTTCACGAAATTTAACACACATATTTCTAGACTTAATTCAGTACGTTATGCCAAATTTCGTACAAATCGAAAAATATATAGGGACTTTGGTGTACCATTTACATGAAATCGGACGAAAATAGATATGTCTAAATCTGAACAGATTTTCAGGAAACTTAACACACATCATTGTAGACCTAAATCATTAGGCTGTGCCAAATTTCGTGCAAATCGTAAGATATATAGGGACCGTTTACATCAAATCGGACGAAAATATATATGGGAGCTATATCTTAATCTGAACCGATTTTTCCCAATTTGAGTAGGGCAAGTCCTTGGGCCAAAAAAGTGACCTATGCCAAATTTCATCCAATTCGAATTATAAATGCGACCTGTACTTTGTTTACAATTTAACACCCACAGACGGACGGACGGGCAGACATGCATAACTCGACTTAGAAAGTGATTCTATGCATATTCTCAAAAGGAACTATGGGTCTATCTCGTTTCCTTTTGCCTGTTACAAACATATGCACAAAGACGTAATACCCTGTACCACAGTGTGGTGAAGGGTATAAAATCCACGATTTTATGGACCCTTAAAACCGAATTTTAAAAAATCCACGGCTTGTATAGACCCTTTAAAAATCCACGTCTTCTATAGACCCTCTAAAAAATCCACGCCTTTTATGGATCCTTGAAAAAATCCACGCCTTGCACAGACCCTCTAAAAAAATCCACGCCTTGTACAGACGCTTTCAAAATCCACGACTTGTGTAGACCCTTTCAAAATCCACGTCTGGCATAGACCCTTTCAAAATCCACGTCTGGTATATACCCTCTAAAAAATCCACGCCTTGTATAAACCCTTTAAAAAATCCACGCCTTGTACAGACCCTCTAAAAAATCCACGCCTTGTACAGACCCTGAAAAAATATTCTTTAAAAAATCCACGCCTTGTACAGACCCTGAAAAAATATTCTTTAAAAAATCCACGCCTTGTACAGACCGTTTAAAAAATCCACACCTTTTATAGACCGTTTAAAAAATCCACGCCTTTTATAGACCGTTTAAAAAATCCACGCCTTTTATAGACCGTTTAAAAAATCCACGCCTGTTATAGACCATGCCCCATGTGGACCCTTGTCATGTTGACCATTTAAAAATTTATTTTAAAAAATCCACGCCTCATGTGCACCCTTGTCATGTTGACCCTTTAAAAATTTATTTTAAAAAATCCACGCCTCATGTGGACCCTTGTCATGTTGACCCTTTAAAAATTTATTTTAAAAAATCCACGCCTCATTTGGATCCTTGTCATGTTGATCCTTTAAAAATTTATTTAAAAAAATCCACGCCTCATGTGGTCCCTTGTCATGTTGATCCTTTAAAAATGTATTTTAAAAAATCCACGCCTCATGTGGACCCTTGTCATGTTGACCCTTTAAAAATTTATTTTAAAAAATCCACAAGATTTTTAATTTTTTCCAATATCTAATAATTATTTTTTTCTTTTTCATGTTGTTTTCTTTCAGCAATTCATCAAATGGCAAAGTGTATTTGAGTAAAAATTGTATTGGAGTCTACAAACGTTATCAGCTATGTAATGATGTGGTATGTAGCCAATAATTTTCTGCAAAAACCACAACAACAATTTATTTTTTATTAATTCCTTTCCTTAATTTCTTTCCAACCAGCCTTGTCCATCCTCTGTTCAAGATTTTCGTTCAGAACAATGTTCGGCATATGATGAGGTTGATTTTCAGGGCCAGCAGTATACATGGGAGCCTTATGTTAAAGGTATGGTCATTATTTTTTTTCAAATGATTTTTGAATTCGATTAGAATTTCGTGTTTTAATTTCCCCCCACAGACGATGCTGAATGTGAATTGAATTGCAAACCGGTGGGCAAACAATATTTTGCCACCCTAAATGCCTCGGTTTTGGATGGAACACCATGCGAAAGACCAGCTGAATATTATCGGTCAAATTATCGTGGTCGTGCCATGTGCATTGAGGGTATTTGTAAGGTAAGTGCGTCGAAAAAAATATTTTTTATTTGATATTTTGTGAAAGGGGAAACTAAAAACCAAATTTCAATAAAAATAAAATTGAAAATTGTATGGATTATTTGGAACCATGGATCGTATAACTAATGACATTAGTCATACGTCTTATTTTATATTCTTAATTTTTTGATCAAGGATCGTATAAGCAATGACAGCAATCATACGCCCTAATACATATCACATTAATTATTTCCGAAAAAATCCACGCCTTATATAGACCCATGAAAAAATATTTTTAAAAAATCCACGCCTTATAAAGGCCCATGAAAAAATATTTTTAAAAAATCCACGCCTTATAAAGGCCCATGAAAAAATATTTTTAAAAAATCCACGCATTATAAAGGCCCATGAAAAAATATTTTTAAAAAATCCACGCCTTATAAAGGCCCATGAAAAAATATTTTTAAAAAATTCACGCCTTATATAGGCCCATGAAAAAATATTTTAAAAAAATTCACGCCTTATATAGGCCCATTAAAAAATATTTTTAAAAAATTCACGCCTTATATAGGCCCATGAAAAAATATTTTTAAAAAATCCACGCCCATGAAAAAATATTTTTAAAAAATCCACGCCCATGAAAAAATATTTTGAAAAAATCCACGTCTTATATAGGCCCATGAAAAAATATTTTTAAAAAATCCACGCCCATGAAAAAATATTTTTAAAAAATCCACGTCTTATATAGGCCCATGAAAAAATATTTTTAAAAAATCCACGCCTTATAAAGGCTCATGAAAAAATATTTTTTAAAAAATCCACGCCTTATAAAGGCCCATGAAAAAATATTTTTAAAAAATCCACGCCTTATATAGGCCCATGAAAAAATATTTTTTAAAAAATCCACGCCGTATATAGGCCCATGAAAAAATATTTTTAAAAAATCCACGCCTTATATAGGCCCATGAAAAAATATTTTTGAAAAATCCACGCCTTATATAGGCCCATGAAAAAATATTTTTAAAAAATCCACGCCTTATATAGGCCCATGAAAAAATATTTTTTAAAAAATCCACGCCGTATATAGGCCCATGAAAAAATATTTTTAAAAAATCCACGCCTTATATAGGCCCACGAAAAAATATTTTTAAAAATCCACGCCTTATATAGTCCTGGAAAATGTTCCTTAAAATTCTCGCTTTATATAGGGCCATGACTTTTTCATGATGCCCCATTCATGCTGAGCTGGTATAATAATACATAATTATAGATTCATAGCATACTTTTAGGCGCTAGCATTTGATATCGTCTATGTGATTAAGGAATGGATAGACTAGCTGATGTTATCGTTTCTGTTAATTTATGTTAATAACATAAAATAACACTGTTATTATCGTTAATGTTAAATAACATTTTATTTCAATTATGGAAATTCAATTTATACTTCATCGTATCGCCGATAAAACCGGAAATCTAATCCATTCGAAAAAAAAAAATTGAAAAAAAAAATATTTTTTAGCTTTGATCTCTTGAATTTGAAAATGTGTAACAATTTATCGAACCGATTTCAATGGTCAATTGTGGTCCATAGAAATTAAAGTGAAGTTTGTTTTTTTTCACTTCATTCCCTTCTGTTGATTTTATGGTTTTGTGGTTGGGCAAAGTGTCAGCTGTCTAGTTAAAGGGAGACCATGGTTAGCAGACCATAAGATTGCAAAGTCGGCTGGAGTGGACTGTGCTGACGGATTGGAGTTCATATCCCAAAATGAAATGACTCAATGACTTAGTTCTTCGATGTAGAGGCAAACCATGTGTTTTCTATGAATCAACTAATTGCAAACAGAATTCTTGAAATGAAAGTATTTGTGATTCCTTTTGCTTCTGCTTCTTCTTTTTCTTCGATTGACCTATTGTTGAGGTATCGGAAATAAAAAAAGTTTGAAGTGAATGGAAAACTAGAAGGAAAACAGGAAAACTTGTGGTAAATAGTATACATATATAGGTGAATGGTCACTGGGTGAATAACCACAAATATATATATGGATCAAAACTTTCATTTTTGCCATTGAATAATTAACTTCGAAAAATGTACAGAGCCTTGGAAAAATAATTTTAAAAAATTCACGCCTTGTATAGAGCCTTGGAAAAATAATTTTAAACCAGTAAGGAAAGTCGGACTGGGCCGACTATATGATACCCTTCACCATGTTTGTTTTTTTTTAATCAAAGAAAAAAAAATAAAAATTTGGCGGTTGGCAATGTTAATCATTTAATTTGTTCCAAGTAGATTTGTTTACATCAATTTTTGAATATGATATCTTTCAAATGGCCGCCTCTGGCATTGATGACGTATTGTGCCCTTTTTGCTGCATTTTCCATCGTTTTTACCATTTCGGCCGGAATAGCGGCTATTTCTTCACGAAAGATGTCCTTGAGCTCTTCTACGGTCCTTGGCTTGTTAACGTAAACCTTTGACTTCAAATATCCCCACAAGAAGAAGTCAGGCGGCGTCAAATCGGGCGACCGCGGTGGCCAGTCCAAATCACCACTTTTCGACATCAAACAGCCCGGAAACAAATTCTTTAGAAAATCCATTGTTATGCGACTTGTGTGCGGTGGAGCGCCGCCTTGTTGAAACCAGAACTGCCTCATACGCTTTCGACGAATAATTGGCATCACAAAATTGGTCATCATGTCGTGATAACGCTCCTGATTGATGGTAACTGCATGACCATTTTCATTTTGGAAGAAATACGGCCCAATGACCGTTTTCGCACTAACGCCGCAACAAACTGTGACTTTTTCGTCATAAAGAGGCACTTCTTTAATCTCCTGAGGATTTTCAGTGGCGTAAAAACGGCAATTTTGCTTATTTACGGTCCCATTCAATGTGAAATGGGCTTCATCGGACATGATAATTTTCTTCCAAAATTGCTCGTCATCTTCGGCCATTTCGATGACTCTTTGGGCCCATTCCAATCGACGAGGCTTGTCCGCAGGCAACATTCTTTGCGTCAATTGAATTTTGTACGGGAACAAATGCGAATAATCCGTTGCAAAGTGGACCGAGCCATGCCCAACTGTTGAGAACGGCGGTTTTGGGATGTTCTTGGGGGCCTCTCAACACTGGCTCGTAGGGCAGCGATATTCTCGGCCGATCGCCTTGGTCGACTTTTATATGGCCTCTTCGGATTAGAAAGAGCCTTACCAGTCGAACATTTTTCGTATAAACGCTTAATGGTGTTCTTAGAAGGCGCACTTCTCACATTTTTAATGTTTTAAAAGCATATTGAGTTTTCACAATTGACTTCTTCTGTTGAATGTAAATTTTCAACTATATCAGAGCACTCGGGTGGCGTGTATTGGTTCATGGTAAAAATCTGCTTGGACTGACGCTTCAAACGCGGTATGTCATTAAGCGATGTGACATCTCTGTCAAAAGTTATGGCGTTGCCAGATGGGTCCGTCGAATATGGGCAACCCTGTATATGTCAATGTCCCCTCGAAGGAAGATACTCATGTCTTTCTGCAAACTATAATAAATTTATTTTCATTCGGGCAGAGTCGTCTGCGTACGATGGGACAAATTTATGGAACATAATTTATAGCAAAATTGATACACGCTATTCGGTACGTCAACGAAACCCAATAACGTCATTCAAGTTTCAATTTCATACGGTGCGAAAAATTTCGTGTTAATCGGACAAACATTAGGAGTTCGGTGCACCATTCATGTAAAATCGGACGAAAAAATATATGGGAGCTATATCTAAATCTGAACGGATCTTCACGAAACTCAGCACACATCATTCTAGAGTTGATTCAGTATGCTGTGCCAAATTTCGTGCAAATCGGAAAATATATAAGAACTTTGGTGCACCATTTACATTAAATCGGACGAAAAAATATATGGGAGCTATATCTAAATCTGAACCGATTTTTACGAAACTTAAAACACATAATTCTAGACTCAATTCAGTATGCTGTGCCAAATTTCGTTCAAATCGAGATATACATAGGGTCTTTGGTCCACCATTTACATTAAATCGGACGAAAATATATATGGGAGCTATATCTAAATCTGAACCATCTTTTACGAAATTTAAAACACATAATTCTAGACTTAATTCGGTACGCTGTGCCAAATTTCGTGCAAATCGAAGTATATATAGGGACTTTGGTGCACCATTTACTTTAAATCGGACGAAAATATATATGGGAGCTGTATCGAAATCTGAACCGAATTTCACAAAACTCACCACTCATAATTCTAGGCACAATTCAGTACGCTGTGTCAAATTTCGTGCACATCGAAAGATATATAGGGACTTTGGTGCACCATTCACCTTAAATCGGACGAAAATTTATATGGGACCTATATGTAAATCTGAACCGATTTTTCCCAATTTCAATAGGGTTCGTCCTTGGGCCAAATAAATGAGCTGTTGCAAATTTCATCCAATTCTAATCAAAACTGCGATCTGTACTTTGTTTACAATTAAACATGGGCAGACGGACGGACTGACATATGGACATGCATATATCGACTCAGAAAGTGATTCTATGCATATTCTCAAAAGGAACCATGGGTCTACCCTGTATACCCTGTACCACAGTGCGATGAAGGATACACAAATCCATGTCTTCTATAGACCCTTGAAAAATTTATTTAAAACCAGTGAGCGTAGCAGTATAGTCGGACGTGGCTGACCATACGATACCCTACACAACCACCACGGAACTCTATATTTCTGCGGAAGTTTATTACAAGCCTCGCCAATATTTCGTGATAGTTGCACCCTCTTGCCCGATTAGAGGTCAACATCACCTCTTTCTTACACTGACATATATCCAGAATATTACTAATATTCTGGATATATCCCTTCTAAATACTTGTCCAGATTTCCTTCGCCGTGAGTTGTGTTGTGATGTACGGCTTATAATTGTGGCCTATAGATCGACTCGAAAAAACGCAAAAAATAAGTTTCGGTTTTCGATCAGAGCTATTTCCGCCCT